TATGTAAGTAGAGGTGAGTCTGTAAGATTGATAGGGAAAGGATTAGTCTCAATTTGCATAAAAATTATATCAAAGATACCATAACTGATAATTGAAAAAAAAAAAGAAAAAAACATTGAACTTCTCTTATAAAGGGACTAACGCCAAGAACTTGTGGTAGGGTAATTGCTTACTTCTTCTTCTCCTTTTTTTTTTTCTCTCCTGTTTGCAGGTTTGCATGGAACGCCAGAGTTTGTTAATCTTCCACTAGTAGTAATTACAAAACAGTGTTATATAGGGTGGACTGTATATAAAAAGTGTAGTGTATTATATCAATTTACTAAAATACTATTAATAAAATTTTTTCTTATATTTTTTCATTAAATATATTTTAATAAATTCATAAAACAGAATGCACTTTTAACGTGCAATTTGAATGGTTAAACATCAATCCCCAATACTTATACAAATTATAAGTTTTATTACTGTAGTCTCTAAAGACTAAACCCCATTGGAGACCCCTAGACCTCCTTTGGAAACTCTACTACTATTTAAAGTGTTTAAGGGCTATCAGTCCTTACTTTTCTTTGTCAAAATAAGGGACAATTGCTTAAAACTCTTACCCCACATATTTTAAAATTTCAGGAAATTTTTTGGAATTTCAACTGTTATAGTAATTGCTAAAATTTTATAATGAGTAACTGAAATTTTATATAATATTTACAACAATGTAAATTGATGCTAACCCATGTGACAATAAAGATGTTGTTCAACACGCAATATTGAAAAAAAAAGGTCTTTTGATAGAAAATAGAAATTAAATTAAAATAAAAGAGATTACATTTGAATCTTCATTTTAGGGCGCTATAACCCAAGTAAAATAAAAGGCATAACTTAGAGTATTAGTAATAAATTTAAATTATATCCATAGCAGATATAGATAATTAAGTAAAGAAATATATCTACAATTAAGAATTACAATTGCAATCATTGTATAGACATAAACAAGGCCGCTAATGTAGAATGAAAAGTCATTATGAGTATCATAAGCTATTGGATGTCCCCACTTACTAGACTAACTTCATGAGGAGAGCAAGAAATCTCAACATCAATGGTTCCCAACCCAGTAGATATCATCCTTAATTAATGTAAAACTTGAACCTATAGGAGGGTCATGGCCTTTAGCCGATTGGATTAAAGCCACACCAATATTGTCTACAATCACCTTGTGAGCTCTTTCTTCCTCCATAGGCACTACACAACTCTTCCTCTTGCTTTGAAGGTTTTTGTTCATTTGCGATGTTGTACCTAATTAATGTAAAACTTCAACCTGCAGAAGGGTCATGGCTTTTAGCCGATTGGACTAAAGCTACCCCTGTATTGTCTATAATCACTTTGTGATCTCTTTCTTCCTCCATAGCTACTGCACAACCCGTCCTCTTGCTTTGAAGGTTTTTGTTCATGTGCGATGAAGACTGCACTCCACACTCTAGCCTTGTTCATTTGCCCTTACTGATTTTTGCAGCTTTCCCTTTCCCTCTTAGGTTCCTAATGCTGCCGAACTCTTGGGACAAAGGCAATTCCACCAGCTGCACCAAATCTCAAAAACTGATTAAATTGAAGTGTAAGGTCATTCCCATTAAAAAAAATTCTGTCCTCAATTAAAAAATTTTTAAAAGATTATGGCTTTGTTTATGTTAAATTTCAAAAATTCACTTATTTTTAATTAAAATTTCAAATTTATTCTTATTAGTGATGGTAGGTAGGACGTCGAAACGTGTTCCTTTTATCAATTGAGTAATTATTAATTAATAAGGATAAATTTTGTAAAGAAAACTTTAATATTATGTTGAAAATTAAAATTAATAATAAAATTAAATCATCTCTTTTTGAAAATGTGACTAGTAAAAAAAACAGAGTTATTAATAAATAAATTTAAAAATAATTTTTTAACTTATACTATAAGTATATA